GGTGTGAAAGTGCAGTGCCAGGACAGAAGCACCAAGTTCCATTCTTTATCTACCACATTTCAGACTAACTTGCACATTTATGTTTGGATCAACTCAATGCCTTCATTGCAGAAGTGTGCAGCAACAAGTACAGTTCAATGAAATAATGACAGGGGAAGGAGAAGTTGTTGATTGCTGACACAACCAAAACCATGTGAAGCGCTAGGGACTTTCTCCATGCAGACCCCACTGGTAGTCACCCCTCTTACCCCAACATCAGTCATTCCCAATACGAAAAGTAACAATGCTATGAAGGTAGAATATACTTGAATATGTACCAGAAGAAACATACATGAAGATTAAAACAAATCATGAAATCAGTCTCAAGAAATCTGGAATATAATGGCAACAAACAGCATAAGAATATTGGTTTGGGGAGTGTATCACATGGTTGAGTAAGGCATTACAGTGTTGGGGTGTCGGGGAACCTTGTACAGATCTGCTCCCAGTTTGCTTTGGTCATGCCCTCTGCCTCAGCTGTGGGAGGGCAGGAGTAGTACTTCCTAAAACAAAAGCTAGCAATGCTATATAGCAGGCTACAAACTGCCCAACAATTCCAGCCGTGGCATATGTTGAAATGTTCTGGATCAAAATGCAGGAGTTGAAAGCTGCTATGCCGAAATACATATTAGTGCTTAAGACTAATTATGAATCTTACTATATTGCCAGTCTGTTTTTTATTAGGCTATTTTAAAAAGTACTGCATTGCTTGCCTGCTTTTATAAAGCTTGGCATACTGTCAAGCCTACTGTCTATGGCACATTATGTTGGCTTATATACATGTACCCTTAGTCATGGGTAGGAGTTCTGCTGTCAAAACAGGCTCTTCTCACCCACTCGTCCTTACAGAAGAAAAGGGGATAATAATGGGTACTTGTATAAGGCAAGGCAAGGGAGTTACATAAGGATCAAACAAGGATAGTAACATCTCTTGGCTGAAAGCATTCATTGTTACCCAGAAAAGGCTTGACTTCTGCTGCTTTCATATTATTCTACTGCTGTAGATATGTTATAAAATGGGATAACTCCACAGTCAGAAACTAGCATAACCAGGACAGCTAAAGGTTGACAGACAACCACAAGGAGGGCAACAAACAAAACAGAGATGAATCAAGACCCAAAACGATGCATCCACTCCAAACTCCTGAGTACACCTTCCATTTTGACCTCAAGATTGCTCTTGTCTGGTAAGAGGAAAATAAAGGGACATTTTGGAACAATTAATGTTGGACATTCATGCAGTCCTGGAGTCTTTTAATCATTCAAAGCTGCCCCACACCAAGTCAGACCATTAGTTTATCCAGAGCACTGCCATCTGCCTGGATTGGCAGTGATTCTCCACAGTCTTCAGGAGAAGTGTTTTCCGGCCCTTCTACCTTTTCACTGGAGAGGCCATGGATTAAGGCTGGGACCATCTGCACATATCATACTGTGCCACTGAGCCTCCCCCTCCACTGAACTTGGAATCAATATGGCAGCATAACTAGCACTTGATTCCAATCAACACCGTGGCCTTTGAATTGTATGTGGCTGCTGTAAAACACTAACCATCAACATGTTGATTAACCAAATAATGCATCTCCCCTGTAAAACACACACACACATTCAGTTAGTCTTCAATAACCGTAAAAATCACTGAAATTGCAAGATGAAAAATTAGTACCAGCTAAAACTGTCATCTTTATCCTTCGCCTACACCTAACACATTTATTAACCATCATGGTTTGCAACAGTGCCAACAAATAACTACAGCTTTTACTTTTCATGTCCTCCCTTCCTCTTTTTCTACAGTTTTTGCAAAAAGAACTCTTATCAGTTGAAGGCCATCTTATTTGAAGGCAAACAGGAATTGGTTGCACTCTTGGGGTTATCTGGTTGGTGCATACATTTCCACCATGCTTTCCAGATTTTGAACTCCTTGCTGCAGTGACCACAAGTTGTTGCCCTTTTCAGAAAGCTGTAGAGTAGAGAGCCCTTGAACATTTAGCATACTGGCCCTGAAAGCAATGGATGGGCAGAGAGCGACCTTAACATTTCCAAAATGGTTTTACTTCAGAAAGATGCTAAGTTCAGCAGACATATCAGCCAGACCATAAAACCTTGAATTTCACCCTGTCTAGGACAAAAACAAATTGCTTTTATGGTTTCAGTTATGTATAACTAGTTATTAAGAAACACAAAGAATTGCTTGGAGGAGACAGGGGAACCAACTTTAGAATAGGATTGTCTGAAGTATTTTTGAAAGAGAAAATGCAAAATGCAGTTGGCTAGATCATTGGCTTATTTATTAGCTTGTTTCTCTAAAAAACCTCATCATATTGTCTCTCTCTGTGCATGTGTGTGTGTGCATGTGGACTGATGACTCTCTTTACAAGACCCCAGTAGTGGGATTGCAGCGTGTCATGAAGCTACTTTATCTTCTTCATCAGAAACAAGTGGGAACTATTAAAAATCAATCTAGTCTCTATATGAGCATCCAACCCAGTTTCTTAGTCATTCCAGAGTTGACAGAACTCATGAACTTACTTTATATAAAGAGAATGAAATTTATAACACAACTTTCAAAAATATATCTGTGGTATTTCCATGTCAAATTACCAAAACATTTTGCACACATATGAAACAAAACACCTTAGAATTACTCAAAATGTGGCACATTAGCAAAAAGAAAAGTGGAGCTCCCATTTAATTCATTGAAGCAGTGCCATAATCTAGATGAAAAAAGAATACTTCCATTGCTTTTCAGAGTCCACGGAGAAATAGAAAGAAGCTGATTTCCCTGGAGGAGGGGATTCCAAAAATGTGGCACCATCATGGAAAAGGCCCTGCTCACAGCACCCATTGGCTGTCATGTGCAGAGGGTGTACGCAGCAAAGGTCTTCCAAAGGTTCTCGGTGTGGATGGGTATTTAGGAAACTGCCTTGGACCCAGAGCCAACCCTATCATTTCACAAAGTGGGATGGCTCCATCAAGCAGAAGAGCCTAGGGTGGCAGATCCCATGACAGAGAGCTGTTGGATGCTTGCCTTGGGTGGACCTCCTAAGCTAGCCTGCTGCCCTCAGCCACAGCAGAGGACACTGTCCAATGGAGACTCAGGCACCCATCCAGCTGGAGCATGATGCCACCTTGTTATATCTTGAGCTTGCCCTCTTCATACCAGGAAAGACTACTTGCCCATCTACCCCAGCACTGACTACTCCAACTGGCAACAGCTCTCCAGAGTCCCAAGGAGTGAGTGGTTCCTCCCTGTCAGCTAATCCTTTCCACTGGACATTCCAGGAATTCTGTGTACAAAGCAAGTGTTGTTCCTCAGGGATATGGAGTCTATTGTTCTCAAAAGAAGTGATATTGTTTCACCTGTTCTGACCTACCTGCACTTGAATGTCACAAGGGAAACAAGGGGATTGTAACATCTTATAGGTGGGCAGTGCACTCCTGTGGCTGCTAGGCACAGGATTGCATGAGATGGCCATAATTCTCTGAGTTCAGAGGGTTGGGGCATAAGTGACTTAGTGCAGCATGTTGTTGTTTTTGGTTTTTGTTTTTCATGGAACAGCTCACCTGTTCAGGTGCATGGCAGAGAATGAGGAAATGGTAGATCCATACATGTAAGATATGGGTACATACTTTAGGCATACTTTGTAGAGCAACCTGGTGCTCTCCAAATGTGTTGGTCTATAATTCCCATCATCCCATTGCCCATGTTGGCTTGTGCATGATGGGACTCATATCCAGCAGTTCCAGAAGGCACACCATTGGTGAAGTCTGCAGTCAGTGGTCTGGAGCAGAGGAGTTCTTCACCTAGCTCATCACATAGGGTTGTTGTGGGAATAAAATGGGATGACACCTTGCTTGCCACCAGTTCTTTGCAGAAGCCAGGATGGAGTTTAAATGTGTCAAGAGAAGTATGTACCCATTAGCCAGAATGAAGCAGACCAACCTTCCCCAACCTTGTGCCTTCCAGACTCATTTGGACTGCAACACCCAGAATACCCAGTCAAGGGCCCTGCTGGACCGTCTAATGATACTCAGAAAGCATTACTATTATTATTATGGTTTAATAAAAAGGAGTTTCAGAAGGGTGCAATTTTGCATAAAAGAACTGTATAAGGGGATGAAGCATTTAGTTAGTTCCCTACTTTTTTGCTGTTGCTCAAAATTGCTCAGAGACACAGAGAGAATACATTGCTACCCCCTGGAGTTCTAGCTATGTTTATGCTTACAAGTGGATACACGTGTGTATCATAGCCCCCACAGAGGACTGCACTCTCAGGCATCCACCACTATCCCTCCACCTCAGAAGAGTCGCTCTTGTCACCCAGAAATTTAGCAAGAGCTGCTTTTTCCCCCGCTGCCACTTATCTCCGTGCCAAGAAATTAATGACTCAATTTATGTGTGTCATGCTGCTGTTACAAAGGCACAGATGCAAAGCCTGTAAAAAGCGGGGGGGGGGGGGGAGGCAGCGCTGCTGCCTTAGTAGCTCTTCTCCCAAATGGAGATAATACTTTTCAGCTATTTTACTTCGTTATTGGAAAGATGACCAAGATCATACGCATGATGCACTTTTATACTCGGAAAACTCTGCAGAGATCCAGAGATCTATTATTATTATTATTATTATTATTATTATTATTATTATTATTATTATTATTATTGTCCCTAACATGCCACGGAACAAATTCTGCCACAGGTTTTTCTCTGAACTGCCAGGGTGAATTTGAATCAGCCTCTCAGGTGAAACAGACACGGCGCACCTGTTCGGCACCTCTCTTCCTTCCCCTCCGCCCATCCCGCAAGAGGGGCGAAGGGGAGCCGACGCGCGCATCGGCTGGTGAGTGTGCGCCTCTGGAAGCCGCTGTATTTTCGCGTAAGAAACGCCGCTCCACCGAAACTTCCGCCGAGCCCTAGAGGAGGGAGTGGGGCGGGGCGGGTGGAGAGAGAGAAAGCGCGTCCATCTCACCTCCTGGCACTGAGGCAGCTGCAGGCTGGACGAAGTCGCCACAGCATCCGCGCTCCGAGCCGCCTGACAACAGATTAGCGCCCATCCGCCCATCCAGGAGAGGAAGCGCCAAGCTTCGCGGGGGCTCGCCGCTCCTCCCAGCCGGCGCCTCCTGCTCGCAGTCGTCCCGAGCATCTGCGGCTTCCCGCTCCAAAAAGGAAAAAAGTCTTCTCCGGCGAAGGGGCACTTCCTGGCGCCCACCCTGCTCCGCAAGCCGAGGCTGACGGTGCCCTGCCCGGCTCAGAGCTGGCCAGCTCCCGCGCCGCTCCTCCTTCGCCCAGGCTCAAAACCCCGCGCCGCGCGCCCCGGCTGACGGCTCCATTCCTCCCAGGTCCTCCGCTCGCGCGGGGTCGGGCGACGCTGCCCTGTCCCTCCTGCGCCTTCGCCAGGCGGGCAAGCCCGGCCAAGAGTCCCCGGAGCGCCTGGCTCGCCTTCCGCGCCGCGCCGGAGCCTGCGCCTTCCCGCGGGGGTCTGCAGGCGCGCCGCAATGGCCCTCGCTCGCGCCGCTCGGTCCGGGGCTGGCGGGGAGCAGCGCCCGGCTGTGGCGCCTCACCTGCTCGCTCGCCCTCCGGCTGGCAGCGGGGGCCTGACAAAGCCAATGAGTGACACAGCGAAGAGGCAGGGAGGGAGGGGCCGCAGGCAGGAGGGCCCGCAGAGCGCAGCCGCGAGAGGCTCTCCCGCTTCCTCGGCTCCCGCAATGACATCAGCCCCGGAGCCGCGCGTTGCCCCGGCGGGAGGAGACGCGGGGCGGGCGCGCTGGCGCTCCCCGCAGCTTCCCTCCTCCGCGGCTGCGGCCGGGCGCGCGGAGCTGTGCGACCACACGTCGCGTGCCCATCACGTGTTGCGAGTGTTGCAGGATCCCTTCCAACAACTCCGTAAGGTGGGCTGGTGTCACCTCATGTTGCAGATGGGTTGGTGGGAGACCTGAGAGGAAACGTGTCGCTGAACTGAAAAAAGGCCATGACAGAGAATATTTCAGCAGGGGAACTCCTAAGAACATAGGGAGCTAAGTCAGTAGAAACTGAGTCAGAACATGGAGTTATCTAAGCCCAGTAGTGCAAACACTGGCTAGCAGGACATTTTCCAGCACTGGGAATTGAGCCTGGAACCTTATGGTCCTTTCCCAAACTGTAGTTCATTTTTTCAGGGTGCCATCTATGCACACCCAACTGGGTGTACATACACTGAATTGGAAATCTTCAAGGAGAGAAGGTGTATTAGCCCATTCAAGCCAAACCAGCAAAGTTGCCAAAAAATAAATAAATGAATAAAAACAATCCTGTAAAGTGGGTTTGGGTTATTGTAGATGACAGCAAGCTGGAGTTTGGTGGGTTGACCAAGACTGTCAGGTAACACAGAGGCAAAGGTTTGACTGGAACTTGTAGCTTTCAGAGTCATGCACTTGGATGCTATATTGTACCATGGTGTAAGTTGGGGGAGGCGTTAGTGTATGGGGAGAAATGTGAAGTTTTTCATTATTCCTGCACAAAATATCTGAGGTCACAGACTCTCTTTGTATGCTCAGAGAAATGCAGGCATTCAGTAAGACAAGTGGCAGGTAGGTAAATCAATATGTTAAAACATAAGGAGGAAAAGAAAAATAGTAACTAGGGGGATCTGAATATTTCAGTACATGTATTTGAAATTAAGTTATATGGAAACTGAAACTGAACCATTCTAATTTAACGTATTTTCCCTTTGTGAAATTGCTATGCACAAATTAACTCTTTTTGAACAGTTCTGGTTCTGTGAAAGTACTTTCTTCCTAGAAGGAACATGCACTACAAAAACCAATTGTCATTCCTCCTTCCCCCTCTGACATACTTGAGCTCCCAAGAGTACACAAGAGGATACCCTGAACCCTCATTTAGTCCAGAAGTCTGGCCCTCTAGACCTTGTTGAACTACAACTCCCATCAGTTCCAGACAGAATCGATAATGGTGGGACACCTCATTTGAGGGCCATACATTTCCCAACCCAGTCAACAGCTCCTTGTGGCACCTTAAGAACATAACATGTTTCTTAGGGAATAAACTTGCATGAACTGTAATCCACTTATCAGATGCAGGAAATGTTCTCTGTTGGCAGATATGTTTCGGTCTGTGCTTTACATACACACTTATAGGTGTGGAGGGGAAAATGTAAACAGTGGAATCAAATCACAATGACGTTCAAAAACTCCAGCCTGTAATGATCCCATTCAAACTTAAATATATTCTCAGTGACCATTCACAAGAGCACAGTCATCCTTGCATTGCTTAAATTAACTTAAAAACCTGCAGCAAGACAAGAAGGCTGTCTGTCTGAGCGTAGTCTGTCTGACTGGGCTCCAAGAGCACAATGACCCAATCACAAGGGTTGAGCATGGGTGTTGTTGAACTCTGCGTGGGTGCTGAAATGTGGATTATTGACACAATAACTCACCATGGCGGAAAGTAGTTTCGAATGGCTGCTTTCCTTCTTAATGAGAAGAACAGGAATAGCTGGTGCCTGCCCCATGCCATCTTCCCAAGTCCCACACAGGACGTCAGAAGAGGCATGCTGTAAACACTGCCTCATCCTCCCACCTCCAGCTAGTATGGCAGCCTTGAGGGCTGCAGGTCAGGGTGGGTGACCAGTGGAAAGGAGCTGGGTGGTTTCCCCACTGCTTGGCTACTGCTCACCACAACAGAGCAACAGGTCGCCTCATGTTGGACTTCTGAGCCCAGGGCAAGACAGACCTTTCCTTGGTTCCCCACCCAGCATTCCTGCTTGTGCAATCACAAGCAATCCTGCTCTGCTGGCATCAGCAAGAGCTCTACATGAAGAAGCAGATGACAGCAACTAGAAGTGCCAACTTCTGTCACTTTATCCTGCTCACCTTGGTGCTCCTGCAGTCCCTGGAATACTGCAGGAGGATGAAGGGAGATGGAAGGAAGAAGAGGGAGGAAGAGGAGGGATGTACCTGCAGTGTTGGGGTAAAATTCCCAGGGTGCTTAATGTGTTGCATAAACCCACCCACTGTGTTGTAGGAACCCAAATGAAATAAACCATAGAGAACTACTCACACAATTCACAACCAAACAATAAACCATGGGTTCTTTTCATGGGTTGCTCATCATTCACAAACCATAGCTTCTTAGCACAGCTGGGGTTCAGGTAACACAATAGCCGGTGCTTCAGCAACCACCCATGGTTGTTCACAGTTCAACACCTGACCGTGGGTTATTCTGTTGCCTAAACCCAGTCATTGTCTCCATTCTTACCAAACAGATAGCATTAGAAACGTTTATTAGTATCCTTTAACTCTTGTTCAACAGTTTTGCAGTGAAATCTCCTTTTAGCCAGATCCCCTAAGGCTACTATCCTCTACAAGGCAAAGATACATGCATTCCTAAGCTTCATATAGTAGTAATAAACACAACATTACACCTCACTCTGACAGGGCATTAAAAATGTTTTTCTTGCTCAGTTCCCATGAGATTTTAATCATGATGTAATGCTTAGCAGTAGGAATTGAGGTGTACCTCTTGGGAGTTTTTACAGTGCAACCTACTTTGAAAGGGCATACTGCAGAATGCTTTGATTAGCTATGGTAAAACCCTAAACAATGCTCAAATTCTTGGCAACTTCTTTAATGCTCATCTTTTGAATCTGCCTCAGTCACAATTAATCACAACTTCCTTTTAGATCTCACTCACATACACCCTTAAGTATTCACATTCCAGTGTGGCTGCTCCTCCTGGACTACAGCTCCCATTGTTCCCAGTCAGCATGTCCATAAGAAAAAGGTTGACTTATGCTGTCCACATTTTTACTGGATCTTGCTCTTGTGCTCCTCAACATAATGCTTCCTGCTCAGCCGAAAAATCTCCAGCTATTGATTTTGTAGATCCAAGCACTGTTAAAGGCAGCAGAGTGGTGGAAGCTGATGCTTTGCTACAGCTGAAAATGTGCCTGGTTCCACAAAAACCAAACACCTCCGAGGTTCTGCTGCAATTGCCAATCCCCCATGAGTGGACAATGTGGAGGTGACGTACAGACATGTCTGGCAATGGTCCCTATTGCACAGAGGTCCAGGAGGTTATCTATGTACCCCTAGAAACCTAGACGTCCCCCATGTATCTAATAAACTCCAATCCACAGAGTCACATACAGCATCTTCTCCACCGTCCACTCTCCCACTCCCTTTCCTCCTTCCATTAATCCAGTGAGGTAGATTAGGCTGAGAGAGAGTAATTGGCCCACTGTCAGCCAAGGAGGTGCCTGACTAGTGGTCTGAGCTTCAGTCCCCCTGGCCCTAGTCCAGTACTCTAACCACTACCCCAAGCTGGGTCTCCATGTAATGCATCAGCTGTGGGCTGTCTCAAAGTTTCCCACAGAAAAGGTACCAGATGTCTGAATGCTCTAGCACCGGATAATAATCACTGTACAAACAAGTCATATTTCAGGGGATAATCTTCTAGACCAGCCTTTCCCTGATAGGCTATTTTGTTGTGTGAGCAAGTGCCGAAACTTTTGGTGCCCAGCCTGTAATATGTGCTTCTCTGCATCCATCTGAGCTCTGAGGTTAGGTAGAGCAGGTTCTCGGCCAGAAGCTCAGGTCAGAGGCCATGCTCTGAATCCACATAGTGCAGCAACCTTGCTGAAAAAAAGCAGGTTTTGGTCTGGTCAACAACTCAATGGAATACCTCCTGTGATCCACTGAAGAAAGGAAGCATATGAATGCAAGAAGTACATACTGCTAAAAATACCTAAAGATAAGCACATACATGAGTATATCTGCTTGTTGTTGTTATTAGTTGTGACCCCATGGACAACATTCCTCCAGGCCTTCCTGTCCACCTAAGCTCACACCAACTGCTTCAGTGTCTCCATCTACCCACCTCATCCTCTGCCGTCCCCTTCTTCTTTTGCCATCTATTGTTCCCAGCATTAGGCTCTTCTCCAGGGAGTCCTTCCTTCTCATTAGGTGGCCAAAATATTTGAGTTTCATCTTCAGTATCTGGCCTTCTAAAGAGCAGTCAGGGTTGATCTCCTCTAGGACTGACCAGGTTGATCACCTTGCTGTCCAAGGGACTCACAGGAGTCTTCTCCAGCACCACAATTCAAAGGCCTCAATTCTTCGGTGCTCAGCCTTCCTTATGGTCCAGCTTTCACAGCCATACATTGCAACTGGGAAAACCATAGCCTTGACTATATGCACTTTTGTTGGCAGGGTGATGTCTCTG